GTCATTTATAATTGTGTTATCCTCATGGGGGAGCCAACAAAATTTTAGCATCTAGTTTTTCATTTCCACCAGCCGCCTCTCCCCTGTAATTAATGACCGGTCCCTTAGGGGTGGTCATGGGAAGGAAAAATTTGTCTAAGTATTCTGTATTTTACAAGAAAATGACCATGCACCACCCTAGGAAAATTGCTAATTATGCATAAAATAACTAATATGCCTGGCAGAAATTAAATTTTCTTATTTCCTAAAAAATATTATCATGGGATGAAAACTATGCTTAATTTAATATAATTATTGTGGATTTCATAAGGATTATCATTGTTTTCTTTAAATATAATATATTTTATTTCACCTACCACCCACGAAAACACATTTCAGCTATATTTTGCCGTCTTGTTTGCTTTTTTATCGTCGAGTCTCGCAAATATCATCCAGTTGTTGTACTTTTACATAATCATGTAAAAGTCAAGTTTTGAAACAGTGCGGTGTATTTTATCTTCGATATTGTGTCCTTCGATATTTCGTGACATATGGCGCCATTGCAATGGCTCGCCGCTTTTCTGCCCGATAAATGCTATTTCTTCGTCTTCCTATGTATTTAGATTACAGTATCAAAGAGTGCTTCATTGTAGAATAGTCCCAATCAAAAATTGAAAACATTAGTTGTACTTGAAAGGAAAAAACGTCCCATAACACTTGCCTTGTCAGAATCCAAAAGAAGTAATTTAAAAGTCACGCGCAAGTTTGCGAAAACTCCTCGCGGGCTACATGACAGAGGGTGAATAATTTCACGAAACGTTTAATCGCCACCACAGCAACCTAACTAAAACATTATATATATTGTATTTTTATGATTTATGATAAAAAATACCCAAATATTTATTGTTTTTATCATAAATCATAAAAATACAATATATATAATGTATTTAGGTGGCGATTAAACGTTTCGTGAAAATATTCACCCCCTGTCATGTAGCCCACGAGGATTTTCGCGAACTTGCGCGTGACTTTTAAATTACTTATTTTTTATTGTGATACAGCAAGTGTTATATGACGTTTTTCCTTTCAAATGCAACTAATGTTTTCAAGTTTTGGATTGGGACTATTCTACAATGAAGTACTATTGGATACTGTAATCTAAATGCATAGGACGACGAAGAAATAGCAATTATCGGGCAGAGAAGCGGCGAGCCATTGCAATGGCGCCATATTTCACGAAATATCGAAGGATACAATATCGAAGATAAAATACACTGCACTGTTTCAAAACTTGATGAAACTTGGTTGAAATCTTCTTTAGCCATTTATGGTTATGTAAAATTACAACAACTGGATGATATTTGCGAGACTCGGCGATAAAAAGCAACCAAGACGGCAAAATATGGCTGGCTATCGTGTTTTCGTGGGGGTAAGTGAAATAAAATGTATTATATTTAAAGAAAACAAAGACAATCCTTATGAAATCCACAATAATTATATTAATTAAAAAACTGCGCAGCTAGTATAGCCACGTCGATCATTATGTGAACTTTTCAACAAAAGTTTATCGTCTGGTCAACTTCCGTCAGAATGGAAGTTGTCTAATGTTTGTCCAATCCCAAGGAAAAGTCCACTTCATTAAGTTCCCAATTATAGACCAATTTCACTTCTGTCGTTAGTCTCGAAGGTATTTGAACGTTGCATCTACAATAGACTTATAGATCATATTTCCAGCAAACTGAATGAGTTACAGTATGGTTTTCAAAGAGGCAAGTCTACTACTTCCCAGCTTTTACATGTTCTTCACAACATTCATAAAATACTTGAAAAAAGATACCAAGTTGACATGATTTACCTCGACTTCGCGAAAGCATTTGACAAAGTAAGTCATGACCTTTTACTTGTGAAACTCCATAACTTTGGCATCAAAGGTAATCTTCTTCGTTCGTTCAAAAATTATCTTTCTGGTCACTGTACATGGTGTTACATCTCAGCCGCTCCCAGTACTATCCAGCGTTCCCCAAGGATCAATTATTGGACCAATCCTATTTCTAATCTACGTAAATGATCTTCCCGATAGCGTCTCCCAAGGTACTGCCGTGTCGATGTTTGCTGATGATACTAAATGTCATCGCGCTGTTCGTAATCATCAAGACAGAGAAATCCTACAATCAGATCTTAACAATATTAGCAACTGGTGTCAAGACTGGAGGATGGATTTAAATAAATCCAAGTGCGGAGTACTTCAATTTACTCGTTGTCTCCAACCTACTTTCAACCAGTATACACATTAGTTGACATCCCAGTCAAACCTTTAACATGTGTAAAAGATCTTGGCGTAAGTATCACCAAAGATCTGAAGTGGAACCAGCACGTGCAGGACTTATCCTCAAAAGCTAACAAAATGCTGGGTTTTGTCAAGAGAACAGCGTCCGGCATTCACAATAAAAGAGTTCGAAAGATACTGTACTTGACTATCGTTCGAAGCCAGCTAGCTTACAGTAGTCAAGTGTGGGCACCCCAAACTGTCAACAACATCCTAACGATTGAATGGTTGCAGTTGACGTGCATCAAAATGTATTCTTTCGCTGCCGTACAAAACATCTATCTCGTATAAGAAACGATTGGCTACCATCGGAATCCTCCCTCTATGTTACTGGCATGAGTATTTAGATATGGTGTATCTTCACAAATGCCTTATAAATAACTCTGACAGTAACATATCTATAAAGATCCCTACACGAGAAACATGGAATGCTAGTTCAACCAACGGCATCCTACTTCATGTAACCAAAAGTAAAACTGTTTCTTTTCAAAACAGCTTTTACATCAGAGCTGCTAATGTGTGGAACACGCTTCCAGGCTTCATAAGAAATACCACCACATCTCTAACTACATTTAAATGTAATCTAATGAAATATTACGTAGAATTAACCCAACAAATTTATGATCCTGAAGATCCAAGAACATTTAAGTCTGTTTGTATTAAATGTCACACCTCTCGCCCACTAATGAACTTATGAACTCGAACATGTTGCTAAAAGACCACCCCTAAAAGTAACCCTTCTAAACACTATAAGCACTTCAGAAAGGCTGTCGCTTTTCCTTTTCGGAAGTTAGAGCTATGTCGACACTGCCGTTTCAGGGCGGGGTCATTTTCAGGACTTTCGTCCCGGATTCAGGTTTTGGCACATGTGCCATGTTGACCGCCATGGTCATTTTACCATAGAGATTATAAATAACACTAGAGGAGGCATCGAGTTTAAAAATTGGCAACGCAGCTAATGGGGGGCAAATTCAAGTCCCGGTTATAAAATCGTGCTCTCATTGGCTGATTTGAAACTCGTCACCAATGGGAACACGAATACACATCCGGGACTTGAATTTGCCCCCCAATAGTCGCGTTCCCTTTTTTTACTGAATTAAGATTACAATGCCTCCTCTAGTGTTATTTATAATCTCTATGCATTTTACCCTAAAACAGTTGAGATTACCTGTCCTAAATGAAACGCATACAAACTCATATACAGGTCCTAGACTATACGGTATTTCCATTTCTGGTCCGACTGTTAGCTAATCCCAACCGGAAATACAATTTTAAAACGTCAAAACAATGCGTCGTTTGCATGCCATGAGAGGCATACTTTGAAACCCGGACTGGACTCGAACCCGAAGAAAATCCGGACTCGAGAAAAAGCCGACTTGAGAAAAAAATGATTATTGTCATAAAGAAATCATCGTTTATCATATTAACTATTATTAAACCTTTGCAAAAAACCGTTGCATTCTCGAACAACAGAATCCTTGTTTCGAATCTGGTTTTAATTTTTTCGTAGCCAGCGTTTTCAAGAGTCAAGTCCGCGTTTTCTCAAAGACGAGTCCGGGTCCGCGTTTTTCTCGAGTACGGATTTTCTTCGAGTCCGAGTTTCGAAGTATGCCGTTTGTTTTCATAACATAATTTATACGCCGCCATTTCACGGTCGTGTCTGATTGGTTGGTTGTTTTCTCGTTGTGGAATGTGGGCGAAAATTTCAAGTATAAGTGGGCGGAATTGATTTTTATTAAGGACGGTTGCAGGCACTTTATATTTCCTTCGCCTGTTTGTTTCTCGCCGTTTTTTTCTTCGCCCGTTTTTTTCTAACCCGCCATTCAGTCAATAATCCTCAAAACCTCCAATAAAATAAAGCGACTGCTACGCAGGCTACGGGCGTTGTGGCGTATTTTTCGGGCTAAAATGAATACATTTGCATGGCGGGGGTGTTTTTAGCAATGTCTTTAGCATGCTTGCACTGGGTAAGTGTTTTTTATGAAATTTTCAACGACGAAATGAGTGTAAAAATAAAAAAAAGAAGAGATAACAATTTTCCAAAATTAAATGAGCTAGAATGTATCCCTGAAAACATCGAAAAACAATTCATATTGATTGTTGTAGCAGAAATTATTTAATACAGTCACACCAATGTGCACGAATGGAAATTTATCTATAGTTCGTTCCAAACGAAACTAGCTTTGTTTTTATACAAACCTATCACTTCATAAGTGGTGTAAACTACTTTTTTATTCTTCCTTTTTGTGTTTTGAGAACGGTTTAGGTTTTTTGCTTATATAAACCGAGTGTCTATAGTTAAGACAACGAAATAAATGGTAGCGCTGAAGGCGATATTACAGAACTGTTTGCCGTCTGTTTTGTTATCTTTGGTACTGTAGTCGCCCTGTAAAATTATTATAATTGTTTTTGGCCTTCCTCAGAATTCATTTTAACCCTCGCTACGCTTGGGCTAAAATGAGTCTGAGACGAGCCAAAAATTAACATATATATGCCCGCGAACATCAATCCTATTGTTATATTATACTTCTATAGCATGTGAAAATTCAACCGCCTCAGAAAAGCAGTTATGGAGTATAATTGTATCTGTATTAAACACTGTTTTTGCCTTGATAATACTTTGGGAAGTGATTTACCTTGCGCAACGGTTTCCAACCGTCAATTGTTGTTCTGAAGAAGGCTGGAGCAGCGACAGTGACTTTGTTACTGATTATCTTCTTCGTAAGCGAGATGTTCGAGTCGAACGTCAACAAACAAGCATGCAGAACGTGGAGAACAACACTCCCCTGCTCTCTCCCGTTAATGACATTGTGGACAGTAGCGCTCCAAATAATGATATTGCCGATCATAGCTTTCAGGACTTTATAAACAAGACCAAGCAGCAAGTTTTGAACGGCTCTCCTCAATCTGATGCGACACGTTATAATGGAAAAAATCTAAATTTAAAGGATATCTATGTTGACCCTGTTATTTGCCATACCACTGAACGAGAACAACAGAACGCAATCCCACATCATTATAATAGACATTTCGTAGACGTTGATGAAAGCGTCATACGTCAACACGAGATTAAAGATATATTTTGTAAGGATACGGAAGGCAAATTTCCTCGCACTATTCTGGTATATGGAGCAGCAGGAACTGGCAAAACGGTCTTGACTGATAAAATTAAGCGGGATTGGGCAAAAGAAATTGATACATTTTATAGTGGTAAGATTGTTTTCTTCTTTCAGTTTAAATGGTTCAACGGGCCCAATAACGATCGGTACAACAACCTATCTCTTAAGACGTTTCTTTGTTATCTAACATCTCTGAGCGAAAATGAATTTGAAAGTATTTTCGAAAAAATTGAAAAAGAACCCCAGAAAGCAATTTTTATTTTTGATGGTTTGGACGAAAGTGATGACGACCTGAAAACCCGCTGGGATGAATTAGATGGAATTCCAAACAATCCTAATCATCCTACGTCCGCAATGACTTTATTCATGAAACTAGCTAAAGGTTCACTTTTACAAGGAGCAACGGTTCTAGCAACAAGCAGACCAAATGTAGATCATACTCACTTATCGTACTGTTTTGATCGACGTGTTACGATTATTGGCTTCAATTCAGATAAAATTAGAGAATATGTCTACAAATTTTGTTCCACTATTGGCAAAAGTGACCTTGCAGAAAAAATATGGAAAGACATCACAGTGTGCGATTTGTTAAATTTTTGCCGTTACAGTCCTATAAATTGTTATTTTGCTGTTCGTGTCATCCTGCCTCGTCATGAGGGTGATCGTCGAAATGACACTGCTGTTTGTCCAAATACACTGACTAAATTTTACGATATGGTGGTAGATCACTTTGTGACAGATCGCTGCAGAAATATGGACAAAACCTCCATAGAAACAACGATCAGAAATCTTCAGAATCTGGCATACGAAGGCTTGACTAAGGGACAATTGTTTTTCAACAAAAAATGTTTAAATGAACAAATGAAAAAATCTGGTTTAGTGAACAATTTATCTGATCCAATCTTCCCAACTCAAACACAGTATTGTTTCATGCACTTAACCATACAAGAATTTCTTGCTGCAAGGCACTTGATTGAAACATCACCTGACAAAATAGAGGAGTTCATTTCGACTCATATTAAAGATAGTACGGATGGTACGTGGCATTTAGTACTTCTCTTTATTGCTGGACTTTTGGGCGAGAAGGTGTCTGACGGTAACAATTACAATGGTTGTTTTTCGGCATTTACAAACGGGCTAACTGTACGTGATGCTGAACTTGAGCTTTCGAGTTACGGTAGCGTGGTTGCAATGAAATGTTTAAAGGAAGTGGATGACGAAAACATTGTTAAGGATGTTTGCGAAAAAACTTTGTTACAAAATGTTAGGAAGATTAATTATGATCCATCGAAGCCGAAGGGAGGATATCTTAGCACAAGTGACTGGGCAGCAGTGACTTTCGTTTGCAAACATTTGGACAATTTAAAACATTTAAAACTACGAAATTTCTCATTTTCAAAATTCCTGGAGACGTTTCCGGCAGGATATTTTCTTTCGCAAGTTAGTGAACTACTGCAACAAAAATGCATAGAAAGTCTACACTTGCTTGACTATTCTCCTGGTAGTGAACTTGCAGAAAGACAACTAATCAGCGCATTGATGGAGTGTACATTGAACCACGAACACAATCTTAGTCACCTTGCGCTTGGTACTATGGCCATGACCGATGAATGCGTATCAAACATATGTGCATTGATTGAAAAGGGACATGCAAGTCATCTTAAGAAGCTCGCTCTGTGGGGTGTAAATGCAAAAACTTCATCTGAAATATTTTCTCAACTCTGTAACGTTCTTAATGACGGATATTGCAGAGAACTTACAGATCTGATATTAGATGGTCATCCAGTTGGTCTTGACGGTGTGCAAACATTGTGTAGTGCTCTAATGAATGGACGTCTTAAGAAGCTTAATATGTTGTCTCTTCAATCTTCTTCATTAACTTATCCTTGTGTAGAGTGTCTGTGCAAGACCGTGCTGGATGGGAACTGTAAGCTTACTACACTTATACTAAGTGGAAATATGTTTACTGAAGAAGAAAAAATCAAGCTTCGTGATGTAGAAATACAACTGAAAGTTGTAAAGCCAGGCGCTGAAATTATTTTGGTTGAGTAACTTCCTAATGCAGAGATACATATTCAAAATTTATAAGCACATTTTCTCTGAACCGAACTTGTTCAACAATCATTGTTATCTGTTTGAATAATTAGTACCTATACCTTCGCCCCGGTTCGATGCAGTTTTGATGGAAAATCGAGGATTTATTTAGATCCGTATTTTTGGACAATTATTACTTGTTGAAACAAAAACGATATTACTGATATAAAACAACATTTAATTAAACAGTTTGATTTTTTTCTCAAAAGTTAAGTAACCGCTGTTGTTATGGCAACAATTACGTTTCGATATGGCGGATATTTTGGTTTTGAAGTAATCTAACTCGAAAAAGAGCTAAGTGACTCACATTTTTTATTCGATTAAATGCTTTCTCTTAGTATGATATTGAGTTATTCTGATTTTAAAAAAATTCTGTCCACAGACAATTTTCCAAATTAGGTAAATGTGATTATTCATAACATTTACAAACCAAATCATATATAATCAAGATACCAAAAATGCGGATCTAAATAGTAAATTATTCATTTTTGTATCGGCGCAGGAGATATTAGGCTATCGTCTTGTTAGTTGTTATCTGTAACCCTTAGCCAATCAGTGACTTAGAAAGCTACGTCATTGTTTAAGAAATACGTAATTTATTGGAAATTGAACATGGCTGCCTCGATAGAGTGAATATGTTTTGATATATGAAATTTATGTGAAATATATCGATCGAATATTGTTATGATGCATGCAAAGTAAAACGTGGAAATACAAAGGTTGTCTTTTTCACTGTAAATGTTTGGCCATTACCACATTACCACAAAGTTATATGTTAAATATTTCTGAAGGATAAAGGGTCGCAGACGGTGATGATATGCAGGTTAAATAAATTATACTTCTTGAGTTTTCGGTGAGAGTTTAGGACATAACCAACCGCATTTTACACACGAACTAAATAGCTACAGGAATTAAATACGCCAATTATGGCCATCGCAATGAATCTATGATATTTTAGGCTATACTAGGTAATTCACAATACAGGTGTATAAAAAAATTGAACAGATTTGAAATTGCTCTCAATTTCGCAAAACAGCTCGTGGTACCCATGATGTAGAATAATGAAAAAAATACTCGAACTCAAATTGTGTAAACTAGGGGGTGTTTCTTTTCCAACAAACTAAAAATGGCTTGCGCACGAAATTTAAAGGCTTTAATTGTATTTTGAGTTAATGGATGAAAAATGTGTTGGGTTTTTAATTACAGCACAAAATTTCAGAACATTTGCTTTAGCTTAAGTCCTTTAACTATTCATTTTTTCCTAAAAAAATCAGCCTTTCGCATGCTTAATTAATGCCTTTTAATACCTAATTTGCATATTGCTGACATATGCAAATTAGGCAAATGCATTAATTAAGCATGAAAAAGGCTGATTTTTTAGGAAAAATGTAAGTTTGCGTGAATAGTTCCTTTAACTATATGAAATTTCAGACAATTTGCTTCAGTTTAAGCCCTTTAACTATATGAATAGTAAACTGAAGCAAATTGTCTGAAATTTCGTGCAGCAATTAAACAGCCTACACATTTTTCATCCATTAACTCAAAATACGATTAATTAAAGCTTTTAAATCTCGTGCGCAAGCCATTTTTAGTTTGTTGAAAAAGACACACACCCCTGGTTTACAAAATTTGAGTTCGAGAAATTTTTTTCATTATTCGACATTATAAGTACCCAAAGAAGCTATATATGTAGAAAACTGGATACTAATAGCTGTTTTGCGAAATTGAGAGCAATTTCAAATCTGTTCAGTTTTTTTATACACCCTGTGGCTGTGTATTTCAACTTTGGACTTGAAAAGCGCATATTGGCAAATTTGTTTATTATTTATTTTAGCTTTGCCAACTAGGGCAGGGTCGCCCTTTTTACCTAACCCACGCTGTCAACTCTCCCTGTGGGAGGAAACCGGAGTACCCAGGGGAAACCCACGACTTTCGGCAGAGCGTTGACTTTTACTCTTTTCGCATGAGGACTGGGTTCGAGTCGCATTGAGGAAGTTCTCACTGAGGCTTGAACCTGCGGCCTCAGAGGTGAAGGGCAAGTGCGCTAACCACTTGGCGACAAGAAATGATGCCTAAGTACATTTCTTAGGGCATGTTTCTCTCGATCAATCTTGTAAGAACCATCGCCAGAAGCCATCGCATCCATCTTCAATACCTACTTCACTTCAATCTTCACCAGAGATCAACCTAGCACGGAAAAAGATTCACGTACGATCGACGAAGATTGTGACCATTCTACAAACATCACCTTGTTAGAAGACATCACGTTAACACCAGATCATGTTGCTGCAGTCTTAAGAACTCTTGACAAAGATAAAGCACACGGACCGGATGGTATTCCCACTCGTCTACTTACAGAAACAGCGTCAGTAATAGCACCATCGCTTTGTGATCTGTTCAACAAGTCACTGCGCACTGGAGTAGTACCGCGAGAATGGAAACTGGCCAATGTCGTTCCTGTTTTTAAGAAGGTAGATAAGGAATATGTTGAAAATTACAGACCAATATCTCTGCTGTCTTTAATATCTAAAGTATTGGAACGCTGTTTGTTCGAATGCATCAAACATCGCGTGTTTAGCCAGATTAATCCTTGTCAACATGGCTTCATCCCAGGAAGAAATTGTGTCACTCAGTTAATCGAAGTGTTCGACACGATTGGTAACTTGTTGGATCGTAGTAAACAAATCGATGTGTTATACCTGGACATGTCGAAAGCCTTCGATACGGTGAGCCACAAACGTCTTCTCCTTCGTCTTCGTGATTTCGGATTTAGTGGTAACAACCTCAAATGGTTCCAATCATACTTACAAGATCGTAGACAACAAACGACAATCCTTAGAGCAACATCATCTCCTACACCAGTAACTTCAGGAGTACCTCAAGGCTCAATTCTTGGTCCACTACTGTTCTTGTTATATGAAAACGATCTACCTTCCAGTGTCGTGAATTCTTCTATCGCAATTTATGCTGATGACACCAAGTTATTTAATTAAAGAGATAAACTGCCTTGATGATGCTACAGCGTTGCAGGATGATTTGTTAAACTTTGAAACCAGTTCCTCGAATGCTGGTCTTCAATTAAACACTTAGAAGTGTAAAACTCTCCGTGTTACCAGAAGGCGCAAGACAATCGAGCGTCAATACAGTCTGGTTAACCAAACCTTAGAGACCTCAAAACATGAACGTGATTTGGATGTATGGATCTCCAACAACTTGACCTGGCGAAAACAAGTCTTGGAACAATGTTCAAAGGCAAATAAATTGCTGGGATTTGTAAAATGATCCACAAGAAACATCACCAGTCAATCAGCGCGTCGTACCCTCTACCTAACTCTCGTAAGATCTCAAGTCGGTTATGCAACGCAAGTTTGATCACCACAGTCCGTAGAGCTCATCTCCCGATTAGAACGAGTACAAAGGCGTGCTTCAAAATACATCCTTGGCCTGCCTTTTCCTTGCGAAGTCAGTTACGAGCAACGACTGAAGAAATTGAAGCTTCTTCCTATCAGCTATTGGCACGAGTACTTGGACATGATGTTCTTATTTAAAGTAAGTTGTGGTGCCATAAATCTTCCTAGATCAGTCCTTCCTACGCAAAATCTGAACGTTAGAACAACACGATCTGTTCAACCAAACTGTCTCCAATTCCGCACGAAGAAATGCTATACAGCGATATACCAACAGTCGTATACAATCAGATCAACAAGGATCTGGAATACTTTACCAAAACTCATAACTAATAAATCTAATTCTTTATATACCTTAAAAAATATTTACTTGACTACTACCTCTCTGCTTTACAGCTTAATTATAACATAGATGATCCTCGTTCGTGGAAAACAATTTGTTTAAAGTGTAATCAGACTCATGCTGTTTTTAAATGATAATTTTTTAAGAGACAATGTGAATGCTTTTGAATAGTTTAAGATAATTTGTTTGTTGTCTAATGGGATCACAGTAATTGGCCAAAAGCTGTCGTGAATACCCTGTCACAATTGTTGTATATTTGTAAATAATCATAGCAGCAAAAATGATTTTTTGATTATTTATAAATCGGATCATTTTTACAAAATTGTTTGTAAATTGATTGTATGGTAGAGCCTTCGCACATTTCACAAATTATGGAAATATTTTGTCATTTAATCAACTGGGTGATTTCAACGGAGAAAATTCAATATTTCGATGGCTTCATTTGATCCAGACGAATTATGAAGAATTGTGGCTAACGTTTCGCAGTAGCGACATTCTTGAGTCCATCAGCAAGTCGACAGCTATAAGTACCTCGGCTTCAACCAGTTCAAGCCGGACGCAACAAAATACTGCTCAGGTTGGTAAATAAAAACGTATATACATTAAAAACAAAACTTGAATTTCATAAACTGTAGCTTATTTCTCACCCAAGCTATTCTTAAGATAAGATAGAATCACACATGTAAAAACCGGGGAATCAACTAGTATTCATATTAACTATAGGAGTTGAGGGAAAGGCACTAGATAGGATCGATCTAAACGCTGGATCAATGCGGACTCGTTTCCGGTTGCTGTGTTTCCGGTTTTCAATCAATCTCGTTCCCCGAGCCTGCGATCCTCGGGAAGGAACACGAGGCTATGGGATAATCCGTTTCAGGGAGGAATCTGATTGGCCGTTGAAATGGAATGCGTAGTTCAATCTTAGCCAGAATTCCTGGCTTCCGGCAACGGATTATCCCAGAGCCTTCGTTTCCTTCCCGAGGATCGCAGGCTCGGGGAACGAGATTGGTTTTCAATTATGTAAACAATAAAAATCACAACCTCGTATACAGGACCTTCCAGCGGGCAAAAGGCTCTGGCAAAGAAAGGGAAGACCCTGGTAAACAATTTCCAGTTTGAGGGGAAGTTGAAATTACCATTACTGTTGATAAATGATGCACATAACTTGCGTATGTGAGTTGTCCTAAAATTATATACTAGTGGCTGTCATCAATCATGGTCGGGATACAAAACAGTTTGACAGCTTTTAGAAACATGACAAAAAACAGAATGTACAATTCGCACACAAGAGATTTGTAAATACTGTACATGTGTATATTATTATTGATAACTGTATTTTACTGGTATGCGATTCGTGTCCGTAAATGTCCACTTCACATTTTACAGGCATATTACGGAATAGTTATAAATCGCAATTAATATTCTTTGGTCGAGCGACCCTTCCGGAAAGTACGTGACTTTGCCTATACAGCCTCGTTTTTGTGATTGAGACACTTGGGATTTAACCAAAGTCACAAACACGAAAAGAGGCTCTATAGCCAACGTGACGTACTTTCCGGAACGGTGTATTCATAAGACATTGATGACCATTGAACGATCATTATAAAACTTCACACACAAACAGCTGGATAAGAAATTACAGTAGACTTTAGACTCTTTTGATTTCAGACTCTTTTGATTCTTGATCTTTGATAAGTACAACGGTTTGCTATTCCATAATTTCTTGAAAAAACCTAAGAAAGTTTATTAGTAAAACCTTCATGCCTTCGCGTGGCCATAATGCCCATATTTAATAGAATCAAATCGGCTCGCACCCCCGGGATCGAAAAGTAAATTTACATATAAAAAATTATTCACCAATATTCCAATAATACAAATAAAATAGGGAAAATTTTATAAAACGTCAACTTGGGTTCGATTCTCAAAAACAAACGTGTTCGTTTCTCTTGTACTGCGCATGCTCATAAATATACGTTGCCAGAAACACAATTCAAAATACTTCTATAATACAACGTTTAAAATGGGATGAACTGATACGTCTATGTCTATATACTGTACCTCATCTAAAATTTAAAAAAAAAATTAAAAACTCCAGCGGCCTTGGCGTTTTAGTCCAAAATCGTCCACAACTTTAAGTTCTTTTCTACAGAAAGGTGATCTCGAAAAGTAAATTACTGCTTTATAATGTCCAATATTTCTGAAGTCACGTGACCAGAGCCGTTTGACCGCTGGAAGGCCCGGGTACGAGGTTCGTCTCTCATCTGAACGAACAATGACATGCGAACTCACCAAGACGAGCTTACCAGGCCAGTGTTGTTTCTGGCGTGAACTGCCAGAAACATAATTTCTGAACTGCCTGAAACATAATTTCCTGCATTCTAAGTAAAGTTAAAGTTATAGTAAGACAGGAAAATACAATCACTACAGGGTTCATTAAGCTACGGATACACGGGCAATATTAAGCTACGGATACACGGCAATGCAATGGTGGTAAAATCGTTGCATTGCCGTCGCGAGAAATTGCTTGTGTATCATGCTTTGCGACGGCAACGCAAAGCTTCGCGCAATCATTGCCGAAAATTGGGAGGTGTGGTCAAGGTTGTTGATTGACACGTTTCTTGACCAGCCAATGAAAAGCGTTATAAAAACATATATTGCAGGTGAAATATTGCAGGTATAGCCACCTTGTGCGACGGCAACGCAATGCTCTTATCAACCATTACGTAACCAACGCAGCAAAAATATTGCTCGTGCAAGGGTGGGTAGTAGCGAAGTAGTTGTAGTTCGCTACTGTAGCGAACTACAATTTTCAAGTAGCCAGTAGTTTTTGACTACTTTTATAAAACAGTACCTGTAGTTATAGCGAACTACATTTTGCCTAAAAGTAGCCAAGAAGTTGGCTACTTTTCAAACAGCGAATCGCTATTCGCTACTTTTTAAAATTGTTAGTAACTTGATAGAATAGCATGATATTGAGACACGGTCTGCTTAAAATCAATACTCAATTTGCACGCCTGAACACTGTAGTGCTTTCAAAAATGTTGCTTTGTGTTTACTGTTGTTACTCGTAAATCGATTTGTTATAGGTTACATTCCAGCCTGAGTTAATAGATGCTCCAAATACAGTAAAACTAAAAATATAGAGTAGCGAAATAGTTCGCTACATTTTTTAAGCAGTAGCTGTAGTCAGTAGCGAACTACCTTTCTTTAAAAGTAGCAGTAGTTGTAGCTGACTACATATTTTTGAAGTAGCTGTAGTTACAGCGAACTACAAAAAATTTGTAGTCAACCCACCCTTGTGCTCGTGTATCAGAAGCTTTACTCAGAATGCTATACTGAACATAAGGAAAATTAGCATTACTGGCCTGACTTTCGAAAATTAAATAGAAATATTTGAATTAGATTATTCTTAAAATTCCAAGATTATACAACGGTATAAAATTATTTATATTTGCAACCCTGTTTTGGACATTTTAGAAAAAAAATAAATAGAAATAAATTCCAAATCTTACTAAATGGCAAAAATGTGCAACTATAGGGCCTACATGAAAAGCATTCATAAACACGCAGAGATAAAGTACAAGACAGTTTAATAACGATACCTTTTTTACTACTCCCGGTCCCCTTTCCTCATGCACATATAAACTTGAAGACGTTATTATACTCTAAGGTTAATGAAGTACTTCATCCTCATATTCAAAATGGCTAATGATTTACAGTAAATCAGAAATTCTGGATTTAATCACAAGCAGTGGTGTAATTTTACTTTTTTGACCACTTGCCTTCAGGGCAAGTTGGACATGAAAGTTAGTTGCCCAGAATAAAATTCCTTCCCCATCAGACAATGGCCACTCGGGTATAAATTAAGCTGACAACATGTCGACCTGTTCTCCCACTGCTCTTATGGCTACTGTATGTTATGTACTGCCTCAGATCTAGCTTTGGCTCTCAAAAAAACAAAATTTGAATCAAGTACATGCCAGTGAACTGTAATAACACTGGAACGCTAACTGCAGGTAAACATGCCCATACTTGCCCGAAGCCAAGATGGCGCTTCTCGCAAGCTCAGCGAGCAATAAATCAACTTTCAAAAGGACTGGGGAGAGTTTCGAGGAGCGGGAAATTCAGTCAAAAGGTTGTTTTTGAGCGAAAATCAGCAAGAAAAAGCACTTTTTTATCGAAAGTCTTCAACTTAAAAGATTCAAACCTGGTTTCCTGGATAGTTCTAAGTATTTTACATCCACTAACAGCAAAAACGTCCTGGGTAACAGCTTGATATTCAAAAAATTACAGAAGGTTGAACGTGCCGAAAAAAACTTCGCACTTTGACTCCTGAAAAAAGAACTTTAAAACTGCTCTATGTTCTGGAAACATGTTTTGTATTAAATTTCAGGTATAGTTGAAAGTTTTTAGCTTTTTTCCTTGTGGAAATACAGCTATTTAGTGGTCGAAAACAGACATCTTTTAGGCGGCATATTTTCCACTCCATACCTACATGGCGGCCATCATGAGTGGCTTCAAAGATGGCGGCCAAGTTATCGTTCCAGTTCTCTTAGAGTTCACTGGTACATGCACTATAAAAAGTGTATCAGACAATGAAGACATTGGTGGAGGGTAATAAGTTAGGGATGGGTGCACCCCCCCCCCCTTAGCCCTGGACAGAGGGGGTGCAGGAGGGGGAGCGAACTGTGAACAACTACAATTCAAATACAGTGGTCAAGCAAGACTTCGCTGTGACTGACACAACTCAGCACAAGAGCTGGCAGAGCACCCCCCAATACCAGATCATGCTGGATCCATCCGGCATCCCTGTAATAAGTGTCCTTTATCGAAAATGTGTTACATAAGAATGTCGACCAAAATGTACTAATATAATTTCAAAATTTTATTCAGTATATTCTGGGATAATCCGAAATGTTTATATTTTTATTGTATTATCCCAGAATATTGAACTGCATAAAATTAAATATATATATATATATATATATATATATATATATATATATATATATATATATATATATATATATATATATATATATATATATATATATATATATATATATATATATATACTTAGGTGAAAGTTATAGAAAAAAATTGAAATGTATTAATACTATTATAGATAGCACGTTATTGGCACAAACCCTCGTCATAGTAATTCATTTGATATTTTAGTAACATAGTTTGAGACCAGCACCACGGGGTATATAGAGAATTATTCATGGGTGCTTGGAAATACCACATTTATTTCGAAATAAATCTGGTATTTCCAAGCACCCATGTATTTTTCTGTTTATTATATAAACAAAATTCAGTGAAAAACAATAAAACGTCCGTGGCAATGCGTTTCACCACAAATGATATTTTCACACGTAAAAATATCGTATTTTTTACGTGTGTTTAAATACGATTTTTCTCAGTGGCCAAAAACTCTATATAACACTTATGTTTATATAATAAAAATATTTCTGTTACTTTTCTATGAAGAGCCATGAATTATTCACAGTTGGTTGAAGGATGCAACAAAATAAAAACATAGAAAATACCTTTTTACATTTCGAGCTTGTTTTAATGGCAACTTACTCGCAGACGAAGGGCCTTTATTTCGAAACGTCAAAGCATTTGCTATATTCTTCAAGTACATTTTCAAACAACTTTGCGAATACTGTTCATCACTGCCAACATGATTATACTATTAAAGCGGTAAGAGGCCTTTCCAGATTAGCAGAACTTTGACAATTTTAGGACTTACAGTAAGCGCCTGGACCACAGCAAAGACCGTTAGCATGATTCACGATTCTGTTTCAGTTTTTATTTCCGCAGAGGGCGGCACGTCCGCAGATACTTTGTTGCAAAGAACAAATTCATACAGTTCGTTTCCAATATGTGTTAGTTTATGTCTCGATAAGTTGCTCGATTGTGAGAATCTTTTGCTGCATACGAAACACTCGTACGGTTTTTCCCCAGTGTGCGACCTCTGATGCTTCCGTAAGTCATCCGATCTTATAAATCTTTTGTTGCAAACTTCACATCCGTAAGGCTTTTCCCCTGTGTGTGTCCTTTTATGCCTTGCCAAGTGGTTTGATACGGTGAATCGTCGATTGCAAATATCACATTCGTACGGTTTCTCGACATCTTTATTGTCTGCCATGTGACTCTTTATCTAAGTAGATATTGTCATACTGTAAATCAATATTTATAGAATAGAATGAACTCGTTTACTTGTCAACGGGAGACTAGCTTTTGATGTTCAAGTGTTAATCCTGAAGGCTATATCCAGTTTGTGAATGACCGGAACTAGCAGAATGCATGCCAATTTTATAGGCCCGAGAAAGTTACAATCTGACCATGCCTCTTACTAATCACCCTGGCGAATCACCACTACGCAAAAAAATTGGGAAGGGCGGGGGCGAATTTAGGTTGCCAACATATGACCACCTTTAGTTTGGATGAAATATGATCAGTTCTCTAATCTTTTTCGCTTCGAATTTTATGCAATATATAGCTTAAATTATAGCCCCCCAACGCTTTCATGGTTGAAAGCATTAGGGAGGGCGACCCCCCCCCCCCCCCT